TTGGGGCGAGATTTCCTGAAGCGGTTCAACCCCGAGATCGACTGGGTCAACAGGAAGGCACGCATCTAAAACAACGGGGAACGATTGGAGCTACGAAGCTGGACGGATACAAGGAGCGTTCCTGAAACGACACTAGCACGGTTCGAACGGACGGTGAACGAGAGTAGCACGGGTTACTTAGCATTGGTTATGGCAGCAGCAGAGGATGAGAAGCCGAACACGGAGCTACCTGCAGCAGTAAAGGAGGTCTTGGAGCAGTCCAAAGATATAATGCCCGACGACCTACCCGCAGGAGTACCTACAGCACGCACCCACGAGCACGAGATCGTGGAGGAACCAGGTGCGAAACCCGTCTCACGTGCACCATACCGACTGAGTCCGACCGAACTGACAGACATGAAGAAACAGATAGAGTATCTACTGGACAGACAACTGATCCGCCCATCCACCTCTCCCTACGGTGCACCTGTTCTCTTCACTCCAAAACCAGATGGCAGTTTACGGATGTGCATCGACTACCGCGCACTGAACAAACAGACAGTTAAGAACAAATATCCAATACCGCGCATCGACGACCTACTGGACCAACTATGTGGTGCAACAGTCTTTTCGAGGCTGGACCTACGGTCGGGTTACTGGCAGATCAAGATGGCGGACAACTCGATCCACAAGGCGGCGTTCCGCACCAGATACGGCTCCTACGAATACTTGGTGATGCCGTTCGGACTCTGCAACGCACCAGCAACGTTTCAGGCGGAGATGAATCACATCTTACGGCCCCTGCTGGACGAGTGCGTGGTGGTCTACCTGGACGACATTCTAATCTACTCCTAGAACATGAAGGAGCACGTGGAGCATTTGCGGAAGGACAACGAGATCCTGCGGAAAAACAAGTTCTACGTGAAGCTGTCGAAAAGCGACTTCGCCCTGAAGAAGGTGCAGTTTCTCGGGCACATGGTGAGTGCCGAGGGCGAACACGTGGACCCACATAAGATCAAAGCCGTGAAGAAATGGAAAGTACCGGAGAACGTGAAGGAGTTACAGCAGCTCCTAGTCTTCGCCAACTACTACAACAGGTTCGTGCCGCAGTATGCTAAGATAGCAGCGCCACTGACCGACCTACTGAAAAAGGATACGCCCTACAAATGGGATACTCGTCATCAGCAAGCCATGGAACAGCTACAGACAGCACTGACTACAGCGCCAGTACTCATCTTGCCGGATCCAGACAAGGACTACGTGGTGGAAGCAGACGCTAGTGACCAGTCAGTCGGAGCAACACTGATGGAGGATCACGGCGCGGTTTGCAGCCCATCGCCTACCTCAGTAAGGAGCTACACGGAGCAGAACTGAACTACCCCATCCATGACAAGGAAGCCTTAGCGATAGTTATAGCCTTCAAAGCGTGGAGGTGTTACCTAGAGGGAGCCAAGACTACAAGTTATACTGACCACTGCAGCCTCAAATTCCTGAAGTTGCTGCCGACGCTCTCACGACGACAGGTGCAGTGGGTGGACTTTCTAGAAACTCACTTCTACTACGACATCGTCTACAAGCCCCGGCTACACAACAAGGCAGGCGCGTTGAGCCGCCCCGGACATGTAGCAGGCATCCAGCTTGACGGGATGAACCCTCTGCTCAAGGGTCTATTCCAACATGGATACTCCGTGGACGCAGAGATCGCTACAGCACAGACTAAGAAGCTGTTACAGTGGGAGAAAGACTTAGCTGTAAGGAAGGGTTCAGGAAATATTTGGGTACCGAATTACGCCCCGCTACGACAGATCCTATTGGAGGAGTTTCATGACGTACCATACGCGGGACATTTCGGGAACAACAAGACGTTAGCAGGGATAGCAAAGTATTACTACTGGCCCGGGATGGCAGCTGACGTGCAGCAGTTCGTCACCTCTTGCGACACGTGCCAGCGGATGAAGAGTAGCAAGCAGAAAAAAGCAGGGTTACTTCAGCCTCTACCCGTACCGGAGCAGCCATGGCAGGTTGTTAGCCTCGACTTCATCACAGGACTTCCCTCGACCTCACGGGGACATGATTCCATTCTCGTAGTCATCGATAAGTTCTCCAAAATGGGTCACTTCATCCCGACCAACACCACAGCTACAGCTGAAGCAATTGTTCGCCTCTTCTTCGACCACATCATCACCATCCACGGCATCCCCGCTACACTCATCTCAGATAGAGACCCCAAATTCACGAGTAAGTTCTGGAAGGAGCTCATGGGATTATTGGGGACCAAGCTTGCAATGTCTTCAGCATACCACCCCCAGACTGACGGACAGACAGAGCGACTCAATCAAGTGGTTGAACAGTTACTGCGTACAGCTTGCAAAGACGACGTCAGCCACTGGGACACACAGTTACCGAACCTAGAGTTCGCTTACAACAACTCATCACACGCGGCCACAGGGAAAACTCCTTTCTTCCTGTGTTACGGACGGGTACCACTCACACCACAGCAGCCAACCACACCGGCACACGTCCAAGCCGCACATGACTTCGTCACCACCATTCAGCCACTGAAACCGTACAAGGACCCCAACCACCATTTCCAGGGACGGCAGCTACTGCCACCACCACTTGTTCTCATACAAGATGAACCCGAGTACGAGATCGAGCGCGTTCTCACTCATCGGCGCCGCGGCGACAAAACCCTCGAGTTCCTGATACGCTGGAAGGGATACAACCCCACTGAGGACAGTTGGGTTGCAGAAGCTGATATGGGCAACGCACGCCGTGCTCTCAAGGACTATCTTGTTAAGCAGGGTGTATCTCACGCCACCCAGCTTTGAGGGGGGGACGTGTGAGAGTACGTCGGCTTATGCCAGCCATGCTTGCTTGCCTTTACTATTATGCTATTTCTAGCATAGGATAATTATATGCATGCATGAATTGCTTGATTTCTTAGGCTAGGTGCTTTCCTATATTTTATTATAGTTATAGCACCGAGCTAGGTTGCGTGCACCGAATTGTGGGCTTTTCGGTTGCCACCAAATTGCCTTCTACCGAATTCGGGAAGGATCTGTTCGGGACGCTTCGCGACCCGCGAAACCTTCGCGTAGCACCTGGTTACGGGGCCTTGTGTCGAGCCTATATATAGCCTCGTGTTGTACCCAGGTGATCATTCAATTCAAACTCTCTTTTCTGAGCTCGATCCTAGATCCTCACAACTTACCTGCTGACCGACTTGGGAGAGGCACCTCGTTCTCCTCCAGTTCTGTACGTCAACAACAAGGCCATGCTGGCCTTGTGTCAGGAGCACAGACTGGAGCACAGAACGAAGCACATTGCTCTGCGCTACTTCCTTGCTCGAGAGTTACAGCAGCGTGGTCAGCTTCGTCTTGCTTACGTGGCCTCTCGGGCCAACACTGCTGATATCTTTACCAAGGCCCTTCAGCCTTGTGATCATCAGCGTTTTTGTACTATGTTAGGTCTTGTGCCTACTTGGCCTCACTTGCTTACCTCTTGACTTTGCTTGTACTGTGATCTATATATCCCTGCACTTGCATGCTTACCCTTGCTAGGTTGAGTTCACTGTCTTGCTTGTTCACCTTGATTTATAATCCTACATGTGAACTGGCCTTGTAGCCTTGTAGTTGTGCTCAGACTGTGTGGTGACGTTATGATCCACCCTGGGCTTGACCTTGCCTTGTTCTCTTGCTTATCCCCCACTTTGCCTATGGGGGTGTGTCAGAACTATGTTGTAGGCTGTAGTGGGGCACTCCTTGTGGGGTACAGTATAGTTAGGTTTTGCCTATACAAACCTTGTACTGCCCTGTTTCTAGTCATTCCTCGTTCTATCTTTCACAGCAGGTGCATTCGTTGTGGATTGACGGCGGGCGGCGTCGAGTTCCGCCGTGAGCATTGCTACTTCGAGAGCGAAATTCTTGAGTTGGCTCACGAGGCGGTCGAGCTGCTCCTGCGTCAATGTGGTGAGAGTAATTTCAGCCATGGCGAGGGTGTCGGGCGAGCTCAGCGGGAGCCTCTGTCGTGGCCGTGCGTGCTTACGAGAGAGCACTTCAAGCGGCGGTGCTTGTTCACTGAGAGGCGTCTACCCCCCCAAAAATTTGAGATAGTGGGGAAGCGAAGGTGTGGGTGCGGTCCGAGAGAAGATCGTAGGTTCTGAATACCAAGTGTTACGAGTGCGATTGAGCGAGCGAGCGAGAATTGCACTATCGAAGCAAACAGTGCAATGAGCGAAGGAATGAGCGAGAACTAAATAGCGAAGGCCACAGTGGGAACGGTAACGAACTGTGGTTGGCGCGCGACAGGCATGTGACTGAGGTTGGGACTGAGGTCGGGAAGTGGCTCAGAGCGCGGGTTACTAGCCGAGCCGTGGGGTTGGGTTGCGACGGGCGAGGTGGCGGGAAACGGTCGAGACGAGTGTCGCGAGTGGTAACGCCGCTGAGTATGGCGAGAATAGTGATGTACGCACTAAGCAGGGATGCGGCGTACCGTCATCGCCCGGATATAAGACATATATGTCTTATCTCATACACTAAAAAAATAAGTCTTATAAATGGACGAAAATCCGTTTAGAAGATACCCCCTCATTATACATTTGCCCCTAACCCCTACACACAAATAGGTGTCTTATAATGAGGCTACCCCATTTATAAGAGACACCCGTATAATAGACAACCCCTGTCTACTATTCAACACTGTCTTATATCCGGGCGATGACGGTAAGGAAATGGAAATTTCCTTACACACTGTTTGCATTCAAACTTTTTGAGGCGCGTGAGAAACACGACCAGAGTCGTACAAGTTTGCAAATATGCGACGAAATCGCATGGCAAGGTTGCAACTAAAATACATGTCTTGAGGGAATGATGTATTTCACTAGTCCAAAAGCATGATACCCTAACATATATAATAGACAAAGCGTTACGGTACTTTCACTTCGGCAAGGTCGGATAGCACTTCGACGTTACAAGGTCGAATACAGGTCTACATGCGTCACTGCTGCTTCGGATGATGCTTCAGATGATATCTGATTGCTCCCCAGTAGACTCCTCCTCCATGCTCTTAATAGCTTCCAACATTGCAGCCAAGTTATTGGGATACGACGTCCCACTTCGCATCCCCTCTGCTTGCTCATCCACCTTTACCGCCGCACTCAGCACCTCCTTCCCCACCACCTCGTGCCTGATTCCCTGCAGCTCGTTGGCAATGGTGGCCATGCTGGGCCGGCTTGCAGTGCGCTGCACAGTGCAGCGCAGAGCCAGCTGGGCCAGGCGCAGCACAGCATCATCTGGGGCGTCCATGTCCTGGTCCTTGAGGAGGGTGGGGTTGTTGGACGAAACGCAATCCTCCACCTGACGGGTCAAAAAAAGGTTGAGCAATGGGGGTGGGGATGGGGGCAGGGGCTTGGAATGGCGCACCATACCACAGCATCATCAGGGGCGTCCATGCTGAGGTCCGGGCAGACTGAGTTGAGCAAGAAGAGGCGGGCTGGGTTGATGGAGGAAATGGAATCCTCCACCTGGCAGATTGAGTTGAGCAAGAAGAAGGCACACACGTGCAAAGTTGGCCAAAAGAGGTTGTTGTGCGGCAAGAGGGTAGCTGAGGCATGCTTACACCTGATGGATCGAACAAGATGGGTGGGGATGGAGTCAGTGAGGGATAGCTGTACTAACGTGTCAATGTGCCATTATGACTTCCTGAATAATGCCATCCTGCCTTAATGCCATCCTGCCTTAATGCCATCCTGCCTTAATGCCATCCTGCCTTAATGTCATCCTGCCTTACTGCCATCCTGCCATCATGTTATCATGGCAACAGCTTGTTTGCCGAATGCAGTCACTCCTGTGTTTTGGGGGGACTATTTTGAGTTTTTTACACAACCCTGTTGTTGCATACTCGCCACCACGCAGAAACGTACCAATTGCAGGATGTGGCCGTGCAAGCTAATGACAAAGCCAACTTCAAAGTCACCTCTGTGCCGCACATGGAGCAACAGTGCGCAGAATGTGGCTGCTCGTGTCACCACCATCGGCAGTGTGCTCCTTGAATCAATCGCACTTGGCACAGCGACATCTCACATCTAAAAAACACAACATTCCTCACCGCACACAAACCAGCAGACACCCACCCATCGCAGAATGTGGCCGTTCTTTTCACCTTCGGCCAAACGGGGGCTGCGACCAGTGATCACCACAAGCATGAGCACACCGAAACTGCACACGCAGAGAAGGGGAGGAGGGTGCCAGACAGCACGCGGGGATGCCAAATTGTGAGATGCTTCACCAACAGTATGGCCTTTAGTGAGGAAACACACAAGATGACGGAGCATGAGCAAACCAAGGCAAGCACTCAGTGAGAATATGAGCATGAGCATGAACAAACTGTCAAGCATTGACCTATTCTTATTTTTTTGAGCACATAGTACCATCCTAGCGAAGAGAGCTTTGTCTATTAGTTGCAATTTTTCTTCTCCTGCTCATAGTCCCTGATGGCAACAATACCTCACCTGTACACATCGGTGGCAGTGGTGGCCTTGGACGTGCGTGAGTAGATGGGATCCACATAGCCTGGCGTTCCCATCACCCGAGTCGTGCCCACAGTGGTGCCCTCGCCCACCCTCAACAGCCCAAAGTCACCAATCTTGGCCTGTCGGATGGTGTAATAGTTGAATCGGCCTGTATGTTATGCTGAGTTGTATGTATTGTATTGTACTGAACTTAGGATGACACTGTTCACTTCACGAGCCCTTAACAAGGTACAATGGAGTTGATAGTAGATCAGCTTAGGTTGAGGGATGTGGTTGTGGTGACTGTTACGAATGTTGCTGTATTGACAAATACAAACATGCTCGCCCCAACATGTTCGTGCTCGGGACGGACATGTAGGTGTTCGCCTTTTTAGGCGCCAAACAAATCCCTTCCAGAAAGTGATCGAGCGAACACAAACATGTCTGGTTCGCCTAATATACATGTTTGGCACATTCTAGCAGAACATGCTTGTGTGTTCGCCATTTTGAAGTCTTGAGTCCACTCAGAACACAATTGTCGACTCAAAGTGCTTGCTTGCCTGCATGCTTGCTCCGAGCAGGATGTTGGCAGGTTTGATGTCGCGATGCACAAGGCCAAAGCTGTGGAGGTACTCAAAGCCACGTGCCGCACCAATAAGAATGTCCAGCCGCTGCTGGAAGGTGAGAGAGAAGGACGCCTCTGCACAGATGCAGATAACATGAGATGAGAGCGGCGGAACATGAGAGTGGCGGAACTTGAGCCGTACAACGTCAGTGACAAATAATGGTGGGTGACACAATGAGTGACACAAGAAAAAGGCATAAAAAGAAGGGGGTTCCAGATGTAAGTGTGCAACATACCCTTCTTAACAAACGATGTTGGGATGGTTCTTGTCGGCCATTTGCTGGACCTGCGAGGGAGATTGCAGGAACGGACAAGAACACATCAATGCCTGATAAATGACACGAGGAACAAGTGTTAAACGAAATGAATTTCACATAGCACAGCAGAATGCAAGAGGCATGTCATGGCGAAATGCATGGAGACCCAATGCGGAACAGTTTCTCAATGATTACCTAGCAGTTTTGCAGCCAAAAACGAAAGGAAAAGGCCCATTCAACGAACATCATTACTCCATCTAGCACGAATTTCTCTCTGCAAATCCACATCAAGTCACACCCGCTTTCGAAATTTCTCATATTTGACCAGAGTTGAGACGACCCACCTCTTTGTAAAAATCCACGTCAATCAGTTTGGCTCGCTTGACGGCCCACAGGGTGGTGCCATCATCTGGACACACGCCCTTGTACACGTCACCAAAGGCACCCGAGCCAAGCTGGTTGTCAGAGGACCAGTTGTTGGTTGCTTTGAGGACTTCGTCTAGAGAGTACTCCGTGCATTGAGCGCCTGACATGCTGCGAGCTCGGCCTGTGATAGTGTGGGGTGAAAAGAGGGGTGACGACGGGTGGTAGTGTGGGGTGAAAGGGGTGGGTGCAATTGTTGATAGAGTGTGGTGTGAAAGTGAGTGTGTAGGGTGAAAAGTGAGTGTGAGGGGTGATAGTGTGGGGTTAGGTGAAGGGAAGCAGAGACCAGGTGTATATACGACCCTGCCAGCCGTTCCATTTTGTCATATCAGTACCCAATTGTTGTCAATACTCTAGCATCCGAGGGAAGGGTTGGTAGAAGGAAGGGAAGATAAAAATGTGCCTCTAAATTTTGCCTCGTTTGCCTCATGAATGCTTAAGAGAGGAAAAGTCAAAAGGAGGAGAGGAGGAACAACGGATGGAGGTGGAAGGACTTTTGAGACGTCTCGAAATTCAAGAAGCAGGAAGGAACACATCGGAGGTGTCTCAAGAAGAAACGTTTTTCTAGACTTCTGGGTCTGTCTTATTGACTCTGGGTTGTTTTGGGTTTCAAGTCAAGGTGTTGAGCTTCAGAATTTAGAGGGATTATGGATGAACGTGCTGCCATACTTGCAGTCATACTTGCTGCACGTGTTGCCCGATCCTTGTGACCTCTCCACCACCACAGCAGCGTGCCAATGCCAATCACCAGCAGCATCACAGCAGCCACAGCAATGCCAGCAATGGCTCCCACAGAGAGACCGCCTCCCGACTGGGAGGGAGGCGCTTCGGGTGAGAGGGGGGGGCTTGAAGAGGAGGAGGATGGGGTCGGTGTGGGGGGAGATGAAGTCAAGGAGGGGGCAGCTGGAGGTGGGGAGGGTGGGCCTGTAGTGTGTGAGGGATGGATGGGGATGAAACGGAAGGGAATGGGAAGCTGGAGAAAGGATGGGTCCGAAAGGAAAGCGTCACACGTAGCAAAAGAGTGAGAATGCAATTGATGGAATGGAAAGCACAGCAGATATGTGGCACCGATAGTAGGCCTTGTAGGCCAAGTAGGCAGCATGAAGACAGAGATGTGTATTGTGTATTGGCATCATGGCTTGTTGCATAGGGAGGGATGTGGCCAGGGTGAACAAAGGCACGTCACTGAACAGCAAAACTATTACACAGAAATCTGATGCTTGGAAAATATGAGAGGGGGATAGGGATGAGAAAAGAAACGAACACCTGTTCGGTTCGCCTCGAACACAGGCTTTTTTCTTTGGCTTAAAGTGTTCCCCAAAAAGGGTGTTCGATGTTCGCCCGAACACGTTCGTGTTCGGGCCGCTGCTGCAATTTGCCCCACGACGAACACGAACATGTTCGAGGTTTGTCCGAACACGCCTTCACAGGCGAACGGCGAACACCCTTTTTGGGGGAAGTCGTTCGGCGAACCGAACACTGTTCGGTTCGCCGAACGGCCATGTTCGTGCAAGGGCGAACGCGAACATGTTCGAGTTCGCCCTTTGCTCATCCCTAGAGGGGGAAGAGGATCCCCCCCCCCCCCCCCCCCCTTTTTTTATTTTTCCTCCGTGTATTCTTTCTTAAGCTCACGTGGTGCTGTCTTGTTGCAGGTGGAGCAGAACGAGGGGCACTGGCGGCAAAAGGAACTTTGAGAAAATTGCTGAACCACACACGGACTCTTGTTAGGAGGGCATGTGATTGCAGTTAAAGACAAATTCCTGGATGGGCAGAAGGAAGAATTAGAAGAAAAAAAAGCAGAGAACATCAAGGTGCTTGCGAAAAGGTTGGTGATGGGTAAAAAAAGGAGAGAATATCGAGGTGCTAACGAAAAGGGTGGAGCAAAGTTCCGTACGCGGAAGATCGAGCAGGTGGGCTATGTATGCTTGGCGTGCAGCACTTTAGGCAAACAAGAACAGCGCAATTTAATATTCTAATTCATTATTGCTGAAAAAAAAAGACATTATCTTACAATGGATCAAGTTTGGATAGCTTGCCCAGAGTTGGAGGGAGTTGTCCTGACAGATTGGTTCCTTTGATTTCCCTGCATGTGGAGCGTTTTTTATTGCATATACAAAACAGTTGTTGCACACGCATGGTTGGGTACACTTGTAATAAAATACAGAAACTTGTATGCCGATCTTTGTTGCCCTCAAAAAAAATGGTGAATCCTTTTGTCTTGTATGTTCTTGAAGGCAAATGGACATAATGGACATACAGGCAACTAAAAAACCCTTCTATCAAATCAATCTGAAGCCAGGTGGAGAAAAGTAGTGAATTCGTTCCTCATTTCCAATCTGTGGATCAAGTTTGGATAGCTTGCCCAGTGTTGGAGGGAGTTGTCCTGACAGATTGGTTCCTTTGATTTCCCTGCATGTGGAGCGCTTTTTATCGCATATACAAAGCAGTTGTTGCACACGCATGGTTGGGTACACTTGTAATAAAATACAGAAACTCGTATGCCGAACTTTGTTGCCCTAAAAAAAAATGGTGAATCCTTTTGTCTTGTATGTTCTTGAAGGCAAATGGACATAATGGACATAATAGGCAATTAAAAAACCCTTTTATCAATTCAATCTGAAGCCAGGTGGAGAAAAGTAGTGAATTTGTTCCTCATTTGCAATCTGATTGAGGCCCAAGCCTGGCATAGGGTTGACTTTGAGAGGCGACTTTTGAGTCGACTCAGAAGTCACAACCTTATTGAAGTCTAAGGCCGACGTTCAAGGAACAGTTCGAACCAATCCCCCGACTGGGGATGACCCGTCGGTAAGGGCCGGGTAGGGCAGGGTCGGCCGGGTCGAGTCGGGTCAGGTCAGGTCGGGTCGGGTCAGGTTGGGTTGGGTCGGGTCAGGTTGGGGTGGGTCGGGTTGGGTCGGGTGCTGCTCGAGAGACAACGTGAGGTTTCAGCTCCAGAAACAAGGCGTGTGGTTTCAGCTCAAGAAACAAGGCGTGTGGTTTCAGCTCAAGAAACAAGGCGTGTGGTTTCAGCTCAAGAAACAAGGCGTGTGGTTTCAGCTCAAGAAACAAGGCGTGTGGTTTCAGCTCAAGAGAGAATGGGTGTGCTTACAATCTTGTGAGCTGCAGGAGGTTGCCAATGGACTCTGGGATGCTGCCAGTCAGGTTGTTCCAAGAAAGGGCCCTGGTGCAGGCACGATAGTAGCAGGGAAGAAACTCCCAGAAAGATAAACACGGCTTATAACCAGGTTGTACTAGAAACAAGACAATAAATGTGTTGAGTCAACCTAAACAATGATGAGTAAAGAAAAAGGCTATCACGATACTCTGAATTATGGGAATTCAAAGACATCAATTGAACAGTAAAACGAAGGCATGTGTGTCGATGACACTGTGTCATCACAGATAATATTCAGAGGCTTGTGAAGAAAATGCCCCACTGTTCATTAAATGACAGAACTTACAAGTCACTCAAATAAAGAAGGTTGCCTATCACTGTGGGTATCGATCCTGTCATTTTGTTTCCCCATAAAAATCTGCAATTCGTACCCCGGGGAAGTCAAGGAGCAATGCTGAGAACAAAGGGTGCTTAGCATGTATATATATATATTATATATATATTATATATATATATATGTATGGGCCCACTCGCCTCAATTTTTTTTATGTGCCCAGGGCGAGTAGCAAAACGTGGCGTAAATGGCATTTCATGGATCGGTGAGATTGGTCACGAGTGGCAACACGTGACTCACGAGTTGCGAGGTACTTTGCAATGCGTGCAAATGCAGTAGCATTGGTCCTGCCTCACACGTCAAACCAAGAAGGGACGCACTCACAATTCGTTCAGATTCGTGAGCCTGCCAATAGAGTCAGGAATAGGGCCTGTCAGGTAGTTGTAGCCAATGTTCCTGGCATTGCAGGGATGATGATGATGATGGGAGCATGACAGAAGGCACACGCACATGTGATGACGAAAAAGGTATCGGTGGCACTAGGTTACACAATATAACAAGGAGCCGCACTTCCCTCGTCAGAATTGCTGAGATTTGGCTCCTGCATCTTTAGCTTAGCTAGTTTGACATCTTCCCACTTTTCCTTGTTATCGCCATCGTATTGAGGCGGTTTTTAAGGCGCCTAAAAAATCACCATCAAATAGCAGCATAGCATCTCTTACCATCTTAGCAGCATCGTGCCACATTTACTTGGCTCTGGCAGGACGACCACTGGCAATCACACGTCTCCACCAACGAAGCTCTCAAAGCTAGCATCCTCACCCTTCACTGCTGCTATCCCTCCCGTATCCATCTCTCAGTCACGCCCCCCTATCTCCCCTACCTACACCCCTTCGCCTCTGACCACTGGTGCATTTTCCATGACCGAACGACCGAATGACCTACGGCTGAACATGAGCTAACGGAAAAACAAGAAACAAACAAGTGTTCAAGTTTCACGTGATCCCCAGTAGTTGATTTTGAATAGATTTTGTCATTGGGTGGGTGGAGCGTGGAACCAATGGGTGGGTGGGACGTATACAAGAGCCATCTGGCCCGTCATATTGAAAAGCTCACTCACACGGCCATCAATGCTTCAAGGTTGCCTATTTTCGTAGACACCGAGCCAGTGAGGTAGTTGTCTAGAAGATTACTGCATTTGTCGTGGAAAAAATGTGTAAAAAGGGGAGTAAATGCCTGGTTAGAGTTGCGAGCTTTTAAAAGGAAAGGAAAGGTTAGTGACGAATGAGGAAACAGGTACAGCATAGTGTTGGAGTAGGCTAGAGCTCGCTCTGGCCTTTATTTTGGTGTTCTCTTATCATTCCACCATGCTTAGAGCGAGTTATGCTTCCAGGTTCAATTTAGGTTCATTTCGTAGCTATAGTATAGACTGAACACACCCTAAGTTCAATTAGGGTTTCCAATTCCTTTCTAGCCTTGTATCTCGACACTTCTTTCCTAATACAATTCTCTCGCTACCTTCTCTCTCCCTAGCCATGGCTTCCATATTCCTAGCTTTAACATGGTATCTAGAGCCAAATCCTTGGCGTTTTGTCCCAATCTATATCTCGTAGTACGGTTTAGGCCTTAGGCATCTGGCGCGCCATCTTCTTACCTAGTCGAATTATATTTTCCCTACTATTTCGGCCCTTAATTTTCTCCTTTTTTTTTCACTCGCGGTACATTCTATCCATCGCCCGCGGCCTCCTTGCCTAGTCGCGCGCCCTGTTCCGTCGTCGCGTCGTCCTCCCCCTGCCCCGCCTCGTCGCGCGCCCTAGCCACCGCCGCGTCGCGCGCCCTGCCCGTCGTCGACGTGCGCGGCCTTCCCGCCGTCGACGCGCGCGGCCTTCCTGCCGTCGACGCGCGCGGCCTTCCCGCCGTCAACGCGCCCGCACGTCTTGCCCACCGCCCTCCCTCTCCCCGGCCACCCTTCCCTCCCCGCGGCCGCCCTCCCTTACCCTCTCGTTGGCGTCCTGCCTCACCTCTCTGCAGGCGCCTTCCCCTTCCCTCGTGGTGCACCTTCTTCTGCCGCTTTTGCACCACCTCCTCCTTCTCCCCTCACCCCTTCCGCCTCTTCACCCTCCTCCTCTCTTCATACATTCCTCCCCTCCGTGCCTCTCCTCCCTTCCTCCACCTCCTTCCCCTCCGCCTCTGCCAACTGGCTGCGTGGTACTGGTTGCCACTTGGTGATCGTGACCCTACTTCCTCCCCACCTTCCGCCTCTTCACCCTCCTCCTCCTCTTCTCTCTCCCTCTATTCCCCCCCCCACCCTCTAACCTCTTCCTCCGCCTCTCTTCTCTCCCTCTCTGCTGCAGCTGGTAGCTGTCTGTGTTTTGGCGCCAATCTTCTTCCACACCTTTCCTCCTCCTCTTGTTTCTCCCCTAAGCGGCGCAGCAGCAGACTACTCCGCCGCTATCCCTCCTCCTCTTGTTTCTCCCCTCAGCGGCGCAGCAGCAGACTACTCCGCCGCTATCCCTCCTCCTCGTATTTCTCCCCTCAGCAACGCAGCAGCAGACTACTCCGCCGCTATCCCTCCTCCTCTTGTTTCTCCTCTCAGCGGCGCAGCAGCAGACTACCCCACCGTTATCCCTCCTCCTCTTATCTCCCCCCCTCAACGGCTCAGCAGCTGACTACCTCCCCCCTATTCCTCCTCCTCTTTTATCTCCCCACATCTTCTTCATTATTATCCCCTCCTCAGATGGGGCCCCTTATCACTCTTCCCTCTCTTCCTCTGCGTTTCCGCCCTCGCCCCTCTCCCGCCGTACCTCCTCTCCTACCCTTGCCTTCCCTACTCTCCGCTCCCTTCGCTGCCCCTTCCTCCCCTTGCTACTCTCCTGCTTGTCGCTGGACCTCCCCTCTTCTCCACCCCTCTGCTTGGATTCCGCTGTCCCATCAGTGTCGCCGCTCTTCTGCCGCTGTAACCTCTGGTATTGGTTCTTTGGCCTCTGTCTTCAGTGTGACCATGCCATCTCAGGATAGCATCCTTGGTGCTTCTCCTCTTATGGACCCTCGCTTTGTCGTTCCATTTTCTCCACCTCTTCACAACACTCCCTCTCACTTGCCCAGCCCTACGGTTGCAGCTCTCTCACTTCCTCGCACCTTGGATTTTGTCCTTCACAGTGCTGCTACTGACTCTGTCTTCCGTGATGCTGGTGTCCTTCGTACTTTTCCTCGTCCCCTTTCTATTGATGGGGCAGGGGAGACCATGACCATGATCTGCACTGGCACTTCCTCTCTTCCTTGTCCTGCCTCTCCCTCTGGCGCTATTACTGGCCTTTATGTTCCCTCTTGCCGTCACAACCTTTTATCTCTCCCTGCCCTCCAACGCCTAGGTGTGCGAGCGCTCTTCCCCGCAGGTGCACTCTATTGTGATCTTCATTACCTCGACCGGCACCTCGCTCGTTTCACCCTTTCTCCTATTACTCGCCTCTACACCCTTCGTGTTCCCGTCCCCTCCTCTGTCCATCACACTTCCTCTTCTGCTGCCCCTCCTGTCTCCTCTTGCGACTGTCGCTCCCTCACCCAACCTACCCTTCTTCTCCATCATCGCCTTGGCCACCCCAATTTCCCTCTCCTTCGCAGCATGGTCGATTCGAAGCTGCTTCATGATCTCCCTTCCTCTCTCCCGCCCCTTCCCCCCTCTCCCGCTCCTCCATGCACCCCTTGTGTTCAAGCCAAGCTCTCCCAATCTCCTCATCCTTCTTCCCCTTCTGCCGCCCCAAAACCCCTTGATCTTGTGCATATGGACCTCTGGGGTCCCTCTCCTATTGCCTCACGTCAAGGTCATCGTTACTTTCTCCTTCTTGTTGATGACCACTCTCGCTTTGCCACTGTCTATCCCCTCCGTGCCAAATCTGATGCCCCCTCCCTCATCATTCGCTGGGCTGAGCAGGCGCGCCTTCGCTTTGGCCGTCCTGTCGCACGCCTCCACTCTGATGGTGGTGGCGAGTTCTTTAACCACTCTCTCTCTTCTTACTGCTCCTCTCATGGCATTCGCCAAACCTCCACTCTTCCGCATTCTCCCGAACAGAATGGTGTTGCTGAGCGTCGTATTCGCACTCTTATGGAGATCACCCGCTGTCTCCTTACTCATTCCTCTGCTCCACATTCTCTTTGGAGCTACGCTCTTGTTCATGCCACTCTTCTTTCCAACCTTCGCCCTCATCCCCTTCGCCCCTCCATTACACCCTTCCAGCTCTGGACTGGCCGCCAGCCCTCCGCCCGCCCTCTTCGGGTGTGGGGCTGTGTCGCTCATGTCCTCATCAATCCCGCCGATCGAGCACGTCAGGGTGGGAAGCTCGCTCCCAAGACGCAGCTCTGTGCGTTCATTGGCATCAACACTGACTGTCCTGGTCATCTTTTCTATGCTCCCTCTTCTCAGCAGCTCATTCGCAGCCAGGATGTCATCTTTGATGAGACTCGATCTCCATTCCTCACTCCCCCTCCCACCCCACCTGCTCCCTCTCTCCATTGGTCTGACTTTGATCCGCTGCCTTTTGCTGCTCCCTCTCCTCCTCCCCTTCCTCTTGCCCCTGCTCCACCTCCCCTGCCTGCCTCCTCCACTCCCCCCTCCGCTGTCATCTCTGGCATCTCTCCTTCTGCCTCTTCATCTTCTGCTCCCATGGCCCCTCCCTCATCACCTCCTTCTGCTACCCTCCCTTCTGCACCTGCCCCCCCACCCTCTCCACGTCTCACCCGCTCCATGACCCGTGCGATGTCCAATTTTCAACACTCTGCTCTCTTTACTCGTCTCTCTCCCTCTCCGAACGTTGATCTTCTCGAAGATCGCTTTGAGGAGCTTTTCTCTGTTCATCCTGTTTCACCCCTCCTCTGTGTCACCATTGGCGACTTCTCCAATTCTCCCACTCTTCTCTCCGTTGACACTGCCGCTATTCCCACCCCTCAGACCTATTCCGAGGCAGTGTCTGGCTTTCATGCAACTGAGTGGATGGCTGCCATCATTGCCCAGTGTGAGGCATTCACTAGGACTCACTCTTACGTTGACTCTGTCCCCCCCCCTGGCGCCACCATTGTGAAGGGCAAATGGGTTTTTCGTGTCAAACAGCTGCCTGGGGAGCTCCCTGTCTTCAAAGCCCGTTACTGCGTCAAAGGCTTCACCCAACGTGAAGGCATTGACTACTTTGCCACTTACTCCCCCACTGCCCGTCTCCCCACTCTTCGCCTCCTTCTTGATCTAGGCGCCCGCTGGAATTGGGAGATTCACTCTATGGATGTCTCCAATGCCTTTCTCCAAGGCGAGCTTCATGAACGCATTTTCCTTGAGCGCCCCGCTGGCTTTCCTCGCCCCTTCCCTCCAGGCACTGTCTGGGAGCTGAAGCGCCCAGTGTATGGTCTTAAGCAGGCCCCACACGAGTGGCATGCTAAGCTTGCCTCCACTCTTCACTCTCTTGGCTTCTCCACCTCCTCTTCCGACCCCAGTCTCTTCATTCGCACTTCCCCCCACAGGGTTTACATTCTTGCCTACGTTGATGACTTGGTGCTCCTCGCTGAAGATTCTGCCGACCTTGCCGCTGTCAAGCTAGCCCTCCAGTCACGTCTCCTGTGCAAGGATCTTGGCGAGCTTCGCCACTACCTCGGCATGGAGATTCGTCGCGATCGTACTGCGCGCACCATCTCTCTCTCTCAATCTTTCTACATCCACTCCCTCCTTGAACGCTTTGAAATGTCACAGGCTAAGCCAGTTTCCACTCCTCTTCCCGCTAACCATCAGCTTACTGCCCCTGCCGTTCCCGCTCCCTCCTCAGAACTGCGACCCTATCCTGAGCTCGTTGGGTCACTCAAGTATGCTATGATGTGCACTCGCCCCGATCTTGCTTACCCCCTCAGTGTCCTCTCTCGCTTTGTTGGCCTTGGTCGCCACACTGACGTGCACTGGGCGGCTGCCAAGCGCGTTCTCCGCTATCTCCGCGCTACCTCTGATCTTGCTCTCACTCTTGGTGGCTCTTCTCCCCCTATTCTTTCCGGTTACAGTGATTCCTCCTATGCTGATTCTCGCCCTGATCGCCGCTCCTCTCAGGGTTATGGTTTTACTCTTGGCAGTGGTCTCATCAGCTGGCGCTCCACTCGCTCATCCTCTGTCTGCCTTTCTACCTGCGAAGCTGAGTTGTACGCAGGCACATTGGCAGCTCAGGAGGCTCGCTGGCTCTCCTTTCTCCTTGCTGAGCTCGGTCAATCTCAGCCCTCTGTGACGCTCTCCTGTGACAGTGCGAGCCTGATTCATTTCACTGAAAATCATGTCTATCACGCCCGCAGCAAACACATAGAGGTCCGCTACTTCTTCGTGCGCGAGCTGGTGCAGTCTGGCTTCTTACGCCTTCGCAAGGTGGCCGCTACTGCCAACCTTGCTGACATTTTCACCAAGGCCCTTCTGCGTGCGCCACACCGTTTCTACGTGCGCGAGCTTGGGCTCACGCGTCTTGCCACTTCTGGGGGTGTTCCCGTTCGCTAGGTGTTTTGTTCCAGAGCTTGACCTAGCCTGGGGGTGTGTTGGAGTAGGCTAGAGCTCGCTCTGGCCTTTATTTTGGTGTTCTCTTATCATTCCACCATGCTTATAGCGAGTTATGCTTCCAGGTTCAATTTAGGTTCATTTCGTAGCTATAGTATAGACTGAACACACCCTAAGTTCAATTAGGGTTTCCAATTCCTTTCTAGCCTTGTATCTCGACACTTCTTTCCTAATACAATTCTCTCGCTACCTTCTCTCTCCCTAGCCATGGCTTCCATATTCCTAGCTTTAACACATAGCGTACATTCCGTTCCGTTACCATGCTCGAGCAAAAACAGCTTGATCGTCAACACAATACTAGTGCCCACTTTACCTAAAATGAATGAATGAAAAGAACACAAACACGAACTCACACTCGTTCCTTGTCCATACGAAGTAAGTGGTTGCTGAAATGCACGAGTGCAGTGCGGTTGTGTGTGCGGTGCGGTTTGGCTACGGCTGACCTGGCCGGGAAACCGGTAAGCACTGCACTGCACTCACAACGTGTTTAAGTTTGTGAGAGTGTAAAGCGATTCAGGAATTGTGCCGGTCAATTTGTTGTACCGCAGGAGTCTGCGGGAGTAAAAATGGAAAGCATGAATATGGCAAGCTCAAAGACCATACTGCATGCATATGTAGGCGGTGGTGTGCATAGCTGTGTGTGTGTAAAGTATGAAAATATGTTGGAGAATCACTCACTCACACCTGGCTGGAATGACATAGCAAAGATATGAATATGCAGTGAAACATAGGCGGACAAGCCACCAGTTTTTCAACATAATTGATGCCATATGCGCAGTCGAACATAGTCGTTTGGAAAGAAAACGTACGTAACAACAAGCCAAGCAGCTCAAAGCATTTTAAATCATATTGAAGCTCAAGCATCTCACAACAAGTCAAGCATCTCACAAGTCAAGCATCTCACAACAATTCGAGCGACTCACAGATCTCCGAGGTCTGACAGGTTGGCTAGTGTGGACGGTATCGTGCCGTTCAGATTGTTCGTATGTAGATATCTGCTTTCCATGGGAGTGTGGATGCAAAAGCAGAGTGGGAACCAAAGCCGAGACTGTGGTGGGCCATTGTGCGAGCAGATTGAAGTGGCATAATAGCCGTTCTTAATCAGAGGGTGGCCGCTTTTGATCATATGTAGAGTGAGATGTACCGAGCACTCAACAAGAATGGCAAGCGAGAAAGAATGGAATGCCGGAGGGGACCCACAACAAGGGTGTCGAGAATAAGCATGTGGTGTGCATGTGATGTGGGTGAGTGACGTGGCATGTGGTGCACATACGATGTGGGTGAGTCACACAGCATGTGGTGCGCATGTGAAGTGGGTTGGACACAACACACAGCATGTGGTGCGCATGTGAAGTGGGTGGGACACAACACACGGCATGTGGTGCGCATGTGATGTGGGTGGGTCACACGACATGTGGTGCATTCCATAGTTCAATTAACACTCACATGTGAGCAAGACTTGGGAGGTTGCCAAGAAAGTCAGGAATGGAGCCTGTCAAGCTGTTGTAGCCTAGGTTACTGATGGGGCGTTCATAGGGTATGAATAAAGCATGCATAAGTCAACAGTATGCACAAGGAGTTGAAAAGAGGAACAGTGAGTTGTTTTTTATGGCTGCTCATGGTTGGTCATCGACGTTCATGGTCACTCATGGTCGCTCATGGTCACTCATGGTCGCTCATGGTCGCTCATGGTCGCTGATGGTCGCCCATGGTCGTCCCATCCCATCCCATCCCATCTCATCCCACCACATCACATCACATCGCATCACATCACATCACATCACATCACATCACATCACATCACATCACATCACATCCCATCCCATCCCATCCCATCCCATCCCATCCCATCACATCACATCACATCACATCACATCACATCACATCACATCGCATTGCATCACATCACATCACAGGCTACAGTAACTTGGCTTGCATCGATCCAACCCACACAACATCACAGCATAGGGAAACATCAAATTCCAGTATGATGTGTGAGGGAGATAACATAAAAAACATCTGATAACATACAATAGAGTAACCTTACAGATTGTTGCAAAACTTTAGATTAGAGCTCCTATAATAAAAAAAACTCACAAGTAGGTCAAAGATATAAGGCTGGAGAACGTTGCTGGTATGGATCCATTCAGCTGATTGGAAAGCAAATGTATGCATCTCGGAAATAGGGTGCAAAAACAAATGGAGCAATGGGCAGACAGGGGTTTGTGAGTACGAGCATACATCCTCCAGTATAGACATGGGCATTTGACCCGACCCGTCCCGTCTAGGCCGACCCGTGACGGGTTCGGGTCGGGTCGGGTCGGGTCGGCGGGTCAAGATAAGCCAAATTTAGGGTACCCGACCCGCCATAGTGGGCACGGGTCTCTGTGACCCGTCCTCGGGTAGTGTACCCTCGGGTCGGGTCGGGTCGGGTAATTATACCCAAGAAAAACTCGTCATACGCGCTGATCGACGATTTCCCCCGACGAACCGCGCGGATCGGCGATTCTCCCCACAGATCCGCAGGGATTGGAATTTTTCCTCCCCCTACGCGCGGAATCATGGATCTAAGGGCGGATTCCTGGCTTTGGGACATCCCGGCTTTGGGACATCCCGAATTAATTTTACGAGGCGTGATTTTGCCGACTCGAGCTTCGGGTCATCCGCTTCGGGAGTTAGCGAGCTTCAACGAATATGGTTGGCGAAATTACTTTCTCCCCAGTATTTATATCGCGTGGCTGGAGTGCGACGTTTCTGAATATGCGACAAAAAATACACTCGAGTTCTGTGCAACATTGCACATTTCTGCGTCGTCGAAAATCGGAACCGGTCGCCAGTTTGGTTTGGCAATCGCAACTTACAACGACGAGAGCTACGATTTCGGGTAGCCAGCTAAATATTTGTACAGAAAAATCGTGAACAAGATTTTGGGATGACCCGAAGTGCTGCATTGCAGCTCGGGACTTCCCAAGATTTGGGATGACTCAAACAGCGGATGTCCCGAAGCCAGGAATCCGCCCTAAGGTATTTCCCGCAGAAGGGGAGGGGGGGGAGACTCCCTCGATGAACTTTGTTGTAGATCTGGAAGTGACGACTGTCCAGCTTTCAAATCTCAAATTGGTTGGATGATCTAGATGCAATGTGGTGAAGATAGGTGATGGGAGGGGAAATTGGTTGGAGACAACATTGTGCACAAATTTGGCAACTGTGGAGTACAAATTTCAACTTCGACCTAGGTTTCCCTATCCACGATCTCTCCTACGCCTCCTCCTACACTATAGCTATCATGCGTCTTGTTTGCCAGCCCGATGCAGAGCCATTCGCGCAACGCTATTGCAGTCTATCCTACGATTTCCGTATCTTAACCCGATTTCGGGTCACGGGTCGACCCGACCCGACGGGTCAAGGGTACCCGTGAAAAAGATACCCTGACGGGTCACGGTTCGACCCGACCCGTACGGGTAGGCCCGGGCGGGTCGGGATACTCAGAACACCTGACCCGACCCGGCCTTACCCGACCCGTCCGGGTCAAATGCCCATGCCTACTCCAGTATCTATACAGTAGCAACAGTAACAAGCGGTGAGCTAAGAAGCTAGGAGGCACACAGTCGGTGCCACATGCACAGACTACCAGAAGAATGCTTGGTGCTCGCTCAATGCTGGACTAAGGCACCCAGGCCATAAACCATGCTTACCGAGCACATCACTCAGTGTATGCCGGGCTAAGGGCTTAGTCTAGTGAACATTCAGAGAGAACGACGAGGATGGAAGACATAAAAAAAAGTCCGAACGAACTAGTAATACTTGCATCATCTACAGTACATACATAGGAGTTCAAAAGAACCGCATAGGAGCTCAAAAGAACCGCATAGGAGTTCAAAAGAACCGCATATTCAGACTTCTAAGTCGAATCGAAAGTCTGAACGAGATTTTACTTGCATCATCACTAGTACATTGGATTCAAGCCCTTTAACAAGACCAGAGCCAGTGCTGAGTTACAAGTATGCGCCTCACATGTCAACGAAACACAAAAACCAGCTTTAACATATGATTAGAGACGAGAATGAGGAGCAACAGCACTAATTTTGAGGCTACTAGACAATAGATCTGTTTTGAGACGTTTCAGAACAAATTCGTCTTTACGCGTTTAACTGAACGAGGAACAGCACTAACAATCTGTCAAGGCTCTTCAGATTGCCGAGAGATCCAGGGAGGTTGCCACTTAAGCTGTTGTAAGCCATTTGCCTGATAAGCAAGCAAATGAACACAGAGGGCATGCATGCAGAGAAAATGAACCGAGCATTACTCATGGGTCGACCCAACGTAACCCTCATTTTTATCATGGGACATCAGCTCAAGAGCAGCCAGCCAGCATGAGTGGGTGCATACAGGAAGGTATTGATAACCTATAGAAGCAAGCGAGCTGTGAGACTGGAATCAGCATGTTGATTAAAATAAATAAAAACAAACCCTGCCTTGCTGGCAAGCCATGCATATGCCAAGCAACAATCAATGCGGCAAGTGACAAGCCATGCGCCAAGTGACAAGCCATGCGCCAAGTGACAAGCCATGCACCAAGTGACAAGCCATGCACCAAGTGACAAGCCATGCGCCAAGTGACAAGCCATGCGCCAAGTGACAAGCCATGCACCAAGTGACAAGCCATGCACCAAGTGACAAGCCATGCACCAAGTGACAGGCCATGCGCCAAGTGACAAGCCATGCGCCAAGTGACAAGCCATGCGCCAAGTGACAAGCCATGCGCCAAGTGACAAGCCATGCACCAAGTGACAAGCCATGCACCGAGTGACAAGCCATGCACCAAGTGACAAGCCATGCACCAAGTGACAAGCCATGCACCAAGTGACAAGCCATGCACCAAGTGACAAGCCATGCACCAAGTGACAAGCCATACAAGCCATGCACCAAGTGACAAGCCATGCACCAAGTGACAAGCCATGCACCAAGTGACAAGCCATGCACCAAGTGACAAGCCATGCACCAAGTGACAAGCCATGCACCAAGTGACAAGCCATGCACCAAGTGACAAGCCATGCACCAAGTGACAAGCCATGCACCAAGTGACAAGCCATGCGCCAAATGACAAGCCATGCACCAAGTGACAAGCCATGCACCAAGTGACAAGCCATGCACCAAGTGACAAGCCATGCACCAAGTGACAAGCCATGCACCAAGTGACAAGCCATGCACCAAGTGACAAGCCATGCACCAAGTGACAAGCCATGCACCAAGTGACAAGCCATGCACCAAGTGACAAGCCATGCACCAAGTGACAAGCCATGCACCAAGTGACAAGCCATGCACCAAGTGACAAGCCATGCACCAAGTGACAAGCCATGCACCAAGTGACAAGCCATGCACCAATTGACAAGCCATGCACCAAGTGACAAGCCATGCACCAAGTGACAAGCCATGCGCCAAATGACAAGCCATGCACCAAGTGACAAGCCATGCACCAAGTGACAAGCCATGCACCAAGTGACAAGCCATGCACCAAGTGACAAGCCATGCACCAAGTGACAAGCCATGCACCAAGTGACAAGCCATGCACCAAGTGACAAGCCATGCACCAAGTGACAAGCCATGCGCCAAGTGACAAGCCATGCACCAAGTGACAAGCCATGCACCAAGTGACAAGCCATGCGCCAAATGACAAGCCATGCACCAAGTGACAAGCCATGCACCAAGTGACAAGCCATGCACCAAGTGACAAGCCATGCACCAAGTGACAAGCCATGCACCAAGTGACAAGCCATGCACCAAGTGACAAGCCATGCACCAAGTGACAAGCCATGCGCCAAGTGACAAGCCATGCGCCAAGTGACAAGCCATGCACCAAGTGACAAGCCATGCACCAAGTGACAAGCCATGCACCAAGTGACAAGCCATGCGCCAAGTGACAAGCCATGCACCAAGTGACAAGCCATGCACCAAGTGACAAGCCATGCACCAAGTGACAAGCCATGCACCAAGTGACAAGCCATGCACCAAGTGACAAGCCATGCGCCAAGTGACAAGCCATGCGCCAAGTGACAAGCCATGCACCAAGTGACAAGCCATGCACCAAGTGACAAGCCATGCACCAAGTGATAAGCCATGCACCAAGTGACAAGCCGACAAGGCTTGTCTCAACACCTCCTACACCCCCCGGTCCTTTCCTTCCCTCCATTCCCCCGGCTCGTCCTCTTTGCTTGCCTGGGTCCTTGGCCCAATATCTGTGATAAAAGTGAAGTTTTGAGACGTCATGAAAATTCAATTTCATCGCGTGGCGACCCACTTTGCCTGAGTCCTTGGGCCAATACCTGCGCACATCTCTCAGCTCGGCTCAGCTCAGGTCAGGCTCAGGCCGGCTCAGGTCGGCTCAGGTCGGCTCAGGTCGGTTCAGGTCGGTTCAGGTCGGTTCAGGTTGGCTCAGGCTGGGTCGGGTCGGGTCAGGTTGGTGGGTCAGGTCAAGTCAGGTCGGTCCAGGTCGGTTCAGGTCTATGTTGCAAAAGACGCTGGGGGCGTTCTGCGTCCTGCGTCCGGACGCTGGGACGCAGAACGCTTGGCGTTTTTTTTTCGAGCTGACCAAAAACATAATTCACTGCGCAAAATTGACATTTGCGATTTCGACGCAAATGTCGAATTCGCGTCATGTCGACCCCCCTTAACCCAAATCGACGACTGTTAAAAACAGCCCCCGCACCACATTTCTAACCCCCCCTTGCAAAATTTGAACGCCCAACCCTCACAACCCCTCTACATCTACAAAACCAAACAAATGTGGGCCTCCACCAAGCTACTCATTTGTGCTCCCTCACTTTACCAACTCAATTCTCCTTAGTAAACCCTAGTAGGCTTAGCTACCAAGAGCACCTTAAATTTTGCATTGAATGTGTGCAACGTCGGTCCCCCCCCCCTTCCCATGCCCTATAACATTTTTTTTTTTTTTGCTTTGCCCGGGCATGCGTCTTTTGTAGCGTCTCCCAGGCCCTCATGAAGCGTCCTGCGCCAACGTCTTAGATGCAGGACGCGTCTTTTGCAACACAGGTTCAGGTTGGTTCAGGCCATGTAAGGGACAAGCTTCTAGTGGCTCTATACGTGCTCTGCTCAGCTCCTTTACCCAGAAAAAGAAATCGCTTCAAGGTTGAATAATAGTAGATTCAAGCGTTAGGCTAGCAGAGAAAGCGAGGCTGGTACTTAGTCCAAGCACCGCCCAGCCTGCGTGTCTGGTCGGGAAACTCACATTTTGGTCAGATTCCGAAGGTTGCCAATAGTAGCTGGTATCGTGCCAGTCAGGCTGGTGTTCCATAGAAATCTGCATTTGCGAAAGAAAGGATGGTTTTGAGGAGAGTCTGAAGGCCAAGTAACGAGCTTGTCATGTCAGCATCAACGTGAGACGTTGGAACGAAACGACATGGCTCTGGCTGGCAGGGATCACAATCTCGGAAAGGTAACAGCTTGTGACGCCTCAAAGTAACATGACCTTTTCTTGTGACGCGTCAAAACCAGGCCAGACGCACCCCAGGTTCCAGGTCAAAGCAGCACAGCAGTCACTCAAAGCGAGAGTGCCTCACATGCCCACCCACCCAAGGAGGGGGAGCAGCACTCACAGTTGGGTAAGGCTTTGGAGATTGCTGATAGAGTCAGGGATTGTCCCGTTTAAGTTCTCGTCAGCGATATATCTGTTGACAGGTGGACATTGGAACGGGGGAGAGGCTTTTTTTAGGTAGGGGCGTCAGAAAAGGTTGCTGCTGGTGGAGTCAGGAATTGTCCCGTTCAAGTTCTCGCGAGAGATACATCTGTTGACGGGTGGACATTGAAACGGGGGAGAGGCTTTCTTTCTTCAGTCGACTAAAAAATCGACTTAAACTATATGAGTCTACCAAAAAACTTGAGTCTGGGATTGAAGGTCCATGAGGTCAACTGCCATGGCTTTTTATGTCTCACTCACACATCTTCGCTCACATCTGAAGTCCACTCACATTTGAACCATGAGGGTCCATGAGGGTGCAAGAGGGTCCATGGGGGTGCATGAGGGTCCATGGGGGTGCATGGGGTGCATGTTGTGCATGGGGTGCATGGGGTGCATGGGGTGCATAAGGTGCATGGGGTGCGTGCATGGGGGTCCATGAGGGTGCATGAGGTGCATGAGGTGCATGAGGTGCATGGGGGACATGGGGGGCATGGGGGTTGTGCACTCACATCTCCGTAATCATGCCCTGGGAATCGCATGTGACGGCGCTCGCTTTCTCGCAGTCCCCACCAACCACCCAGCCGTCAAACGTTGTGCTCCACGCCTTCTGACAGTCCAGCAGGACTTGCGCTGGCGGCAGGAAAGGGGAGGAGGGGAGGGGGCTGGCGGAAGAGAGGGCTCAGGTCTCATTGCATGCCCTCCCACGCCTTCTGACAGTCCAGCAGGACTTGTGCTGGCGGCAGGAGGAGGGGAGGGGGGGAGTGGAAGACACGAAAGAATGGCAGCCATTGGAGGAGAGGAATGCAGGTTGTGGAACGGAGAGGACCCAAATGGTGGTCCAAATACTTTTCTCATTGCATGCTCCCCCACATCTCATCACACGCCCTCCTCTCATCGTACGGCTTCCACTTCGCACATCATATTCCCTCCCTCCCACCTCACCATTGCTCTTCCACTTCCACCCAGTGTACAGGAAGGGCGCTGGAAGAACGAGGAGGAGGGCACAGGGGCCAGTGAACAGAGAATGTAACGCCTGCTGGCTAGTGGTGTTGAAGGGCATCCGCTGCGCGTCAAAAACACCCTAGAGTTGTACCAGACCCTGGGTTCAAATCTCGGCTGGTCCATATTTTCCACATGTAGCAAACCCGTAACGCCCACGGGGCGTAGGGTTGAGTGCCTCCGCTGCGCCTCAGATATAACCCTCGTTTTGACTTAGTGGGTTTTGAACCCTCGTAAGGCTCTGAGACCAATATGACGCCTTGCTACCCACTGGGTCAAAACGAGGGTTACAGAACCGGAATGTGGTTACCAAACTCGAATCCGCCAACGGTCTGGCTTTGACACACCAGCGAAAGCGCTATTACCTTCCCCAGCGAGATCTAGGTTCCTGCAGGGGGAACTCCCTGAATTTTTTAGCCAACGAGGACGATGGCACCGGGACGTTCGCACGGGAGTGTCATCGCCCGTCTCGTAGGTGTTGATGTATTTGCGCTGATTATGGTTTCTGATAACTGATTCATGGTAAAATACACGGTGATGTAGTATCGTGTCGGAATGTCACCTCACGGTGATGTCACCCCACGGTGACGCAACCCGATACTACTTTAACGGTTATTTCAGCACGCGCCGTGATACGACTCAATGGCATTATCATGATGATCACTGTGTAATGGCATCGCGGGGTGGCGCGCACCCTGTGACTTGACGAGAGCCACGCATTCGACGCGTGAGACCGCGTGACACGTCATCAGCAGCAGCGCGCCGAGCAGAAGGGCTGCTGCGGGCTTCATCACGCCGCGACGGTCGCGGCAAGCCGCAGGTCCCTGGTAGTTCTATCAACTAATCTCGACTCGCGTCTAAAGAAAGACAGAAAGGATATGGGGAGGAAAAACGTGCTGAACAGGGTGTCTAATTGGCTGTTTATGGCGGGCAGAAAGCGGGCTTGAAAGTGTGAATTTTGGAAGTGGGCTGTCGCTTCAAATATTTCAAGATAAACGCCTGTGTTGTGGAGGTGGCTTCTGGAAGTAGAGTGTCACTGAAAGGAGTGGTTCGAAGTGTGTACGGTGCGTAGAGGGGGATTTGAGGAGGACATATGCCATGCCATACCATCCATACATCCATCGATCACTGATAGAAACGAAATGGATGGACATGAATAGTCGCAACGACCGACAGCTACAGTATATTCCCAGCATCCGTTTGCCGTTTTCCTTATCTATTGAATTGAAACGAATTTGTTTTGTCGCCTCTCTCGCCACCGTCGCCACGGGTCTGATAATTCGCATTGGTAACAATCTTCGAAGGGACGGTTGACATCGCGATAAGGTGTGTGATCAACAGCTGAGATCAAGCCATGTGACCTAGCTTGGGGCTTTGTTGCCCGTACAGAGTGGCGGAAGGGATAGATAAATATTCTTTATTGTGATAAGGATGGGTGTCAGCTGTAGCACTAAACCGAACCCGCGGGGGGGGAGGTTTGTCACTGACAGAAAATGGCCTGCGGGAAAGGGGGCAGACAGGCAGGCACCCGCGGGGATTCCGTCTCACATGTGGCAGGGCAGTCGATCAAAGTAGTCAAGGGGAGAGAAGGTGGAGCAGTGAACGTGGGAAGGATTGGGTGCGCTGGGAATTATTCACTGCCCATACAGTAACATACAGACTGACAGCTGTAATATCTTGTCTTCTACTGTACTTGGAAGCAGTACAGTAACGCGTCAAACCTCGTAGTGCCGATGGGTTTGTCAATCACAATCACTTTCAGTGTCAAAAAAACTTCAACCAAACTACATTTCCCGGAACGCCACGTCACTGTCATCCACGCCCTGCCCCAGCTTGGCGCGCTTCTTCTGCCGCACACCGCCCGCCCCCCCCCCCCCCCGTCCAGAAACTGGGCGGCAGTTTTGGCACGTAGCTCGTCGAGCCCCTCAACCTCCTTGGCCCTTTCCAGCACGAGGTGGCGGCCGTATACGTGGGTGCTCTTGAGCGCATTGTTGAAACAACCGAAAGGTTATATAAAGCATTCCCGAAGCTGCTCCACTGTACCAGTACCGCAATAGCTCATATAGAGCATGCGGAATGTCGAGGGTCACCTGAAGGTCAACCGTCTGAGGAAGTCAACGGTCGTGACCTTTGACGATCCAGTAACCGCGCGACAGTTAATTCACTGCAGCATGGTAACTGTCGAGGATAGCAATAGTCGCGGTTACTGTAGCTATGCAATACAGTTAATAAGGGAATGTACCCCTCAGAGTACATGGCTAGCTAGATTTCTATTTAATCTCTTGTACTCCTATCTTTCGATCATCTTGTTCTCTTTCAATTATTATTCAACAAGATCACTACAGAGACTTCTTTGTCTCCTCTCAGACTTAACAGATCCTATTCTATCTACTGGATCCTTTGGTTGTATCGGCATGGTATGAGAGCTAGAGTGGATTATAGGATCCGTCAAAGTCTTCGTTCTTCTCAGGACAATCCCTTTTATAAAGTTATTAATTACACCTCAAAGTCTGCAATACTATGGCTCATGGAGAAAAAGCTACTACAGACTCACCGGGCCCACCACCAGCAATGACTAACGCGCCATCAGCGGTGACCTCCGTCAGCGCCGCTGTTGTTGAGGAGCTAGTCGCACGCATCAACGCCCTTGAAAGCCATCAAGCAATGAGCATTGACGGCTCAAGCTACGCACGTGACGTTGCTGGACTTCCTCTTCCTGGAGAAGACCGCCGCGTCAACTCCGAGAGATCCTTCACCTTCGACAATAGTCAAGGGTCAGCTCCTGCACAAGACAACCCACATCGCTCACAGTCAGACATCGCTTCAATGCAAACCAAATTTGCATTGAGTTCAAAATTGAAGACCTCAATTCCTTTCGACGGAAAGGATTTCTACACGTGGAGTTTCGAATTCGAGCTTCTCGCGACAAACGCTCAAATCTGGATGTACTACGACGGAAGCCTACCTTTTCCTTTGGAAGGCACCATCCAAGAGAAGCATCAATACTACCACGAATCTCTCCTCGCATACACCGCTCTCCTTCGCAACCTCTCACCAGAAGAACAGCTTGGCATTCGTCCTTTTAAGACGGAATGGGTTCCCGCGCACGCGTCCTGGGAACACCTGCGCAACTCATACATGGCAACAGATCAAATTACGATGAGTCGTCTGCTCAGCCAGCTGACTTCGGTTAAAATGAAGCAAGGGGAGAAAGCGGGACCGTATGTCAACAGGTGCCGCAATCTGCGCGACCAAATCAAGAAATGCGGTGGGACTGTCCCCGACGACATCTTCATCTCGATGGTCATCTCTGGCCTCGGCCCCGACTGGCGACAGTGCCAGTCACTCCTTTGCGCCCGAGCAACCATATCGGAGTCGGCTCTGTGCGTCACGCTTCTTTAGTCTTCTACACAGGAGCATCACAAGGGGAGCAACGCGGAAAGAAGGGAGCTTTTTGCAAATACTGCAAGAAGTCTGGCCACACTATCGACCAGTGCTACAAGCGTCAGGCCGCTGACGAGCGGCGCAACGCCTCCAACCAACAACCATCGGCATAGACAAAGCCTTCCGCCACAACCTCCACTGTGTCGCCTCCGTCCGTCGCCAGCACTTCTCAATCTCCTGCACTCATCACGGCGAAGGACAAAGGAAAAGGGACAATCATAAGCTGCATGGCTCGCCGCAACAGAGGGTTCTGTTACTGGGATCGAGTAACATTCGCTCGCGACAATCCCATCAACCCCGTTGCGCCCAGTCCAGACAATGATTCAACAGTCTTTACTTGGTCCACTCGCCTCTCAGACATTACTCCTGACTTCGAGCTCCCTCCTCCTACTCCGGAATTTCCACCGAGCATTTCCGCAAACAGATATTTGGCCCTCTCACCGTACACCGGCGACTTTGATCGCATCGTCACACCCAAGATCGCCAACCTCGCCCGCCAGCGCTACGAGGATCTGGACACGTGGTACCTCGACAGTTGCTGCGGACAACACATGGTGGGATCGCCAAAGTTCATCAGCAACTCACGGCGTATGCGAGGACCCTGCGAAATCACCGCCGCCAACAACGGAAAAATGAAGGCATATGAGATTGGCGAAATCTACCTCGAGGCCAATGACACGAACTTCACCATTCACATCGGAGACGTCCTCATCGCACCTGACCTACAATACAACTTACTCTCATCAGCTCAACTCATGCGGTGCGGAATCGACATTCGCAGCAATCGGAAGAAGAAGACCTTCGAGCTCTTCCACAACGAAACTTACATCGGAAAGGCGATCGATGACGATGGAGTCTTCGTGCTGCAATTTTTGGCTCAGGGCACCACCGGCGATTCCCACCGCACACTGCTGCTGAAAACAACTCCCACGGAACCGCCAGCATGGTCACATCCCGACGAGATGGATCTCGAGCGACCTGCCTCCGACGGCCTTCTGCGCTTGCGCACCATTCCGACTGCCTCGACCTCCAACCCTGCAGAAACCAGACCTACCACAATGGAAGAAGACAGCGGCAGGTCAGGACCTGCAACACAACCAGCCGAAGAAAACAAGACGGCGGAGACACGCTGGACGGGCTGGAACACTTCCGAGCCCGCGCTCGGATCCTGGGGAGAAGTTTTAACTCCAGAAGAAGCAGCCGCAAGCGGGTGGGGCGCCGTTTCAACGGGAGAAGTTGGCGCGACCGGCTGGGGGACTCCCCCTGCCCCAGCAGAGGAAGTTGGCGCAACAGCAGGAGAAGCAGTCGGAGAAGTAAAGACAACTGGAGACACATGGGGCGCCGGAGGAGGATGGGTCACCTCGACCGAAGCAGGACAAGGGCACGTCGAAGCAGCTGGTTTTCCTCCTGCGGAAGTCGCCGTCGTCGACCCATACTGGGCAACTCGCGGCACCTGCTGGGGAGGTCCACCTCTCCCAGATCAATACGCCCCCGAGCCAATGCCAGAAGAGTCAGAAGAAGAGGAGACCTACGAATTTATGGGAGAAGCAACGGAGTTACCCGAACCTCCGGAGCCGCCAGTACAAG